TATTTTTAAAAATACACTGCTCAACAAAATAAAGGGAACACTTAAACAACGCACGCTAACTCCCGATCTTAATCAATGAAATATTCGCATTGAGTACTTTGTTCTGTACAGAGTTGAATGTGCTTCACAAAAGTTTGATTTACTTGGACTTAGCGTGCGTTGTTTAAGTAAATAAGTAATAAGTAAATAAATAAATAAATGAATAAACATTATTTAACGTTATTTAATGGCTGCAGTTTGAAACATTATATAATGCCTCCTCATTTCTGTCTCTGCCTCCCTTGCAGAAGGACAACAGAAAAGAGAAAGGCAGAGATGCAGTCAGTCACAACGCACCGCTGCCACCGTGTTAAAATATTATTAAATAAAAACAGAAAACGAGTAGATTTGATTTACGTAATAAAATGTCTCTAAGAAAAATCTGACGTTACTCATATATGCGCCAGTCGTTCTGAAGACTAACCCGTGCTGTGCTGCGACACTGGTGGAATAACAAGCACCACTTCAGCCAAAGTTTTAAAATAAGAAAACATTTCTCCAGTTGAAGTGATCAGACGTCAGCAAGACTTTATTTCCAAGTCCTACAAGCTGTGGCTTTAGCAGGAGGAAATCCCGCAGCGTGCGCTCCCGCTGCGCCACTGTTTCAGCTGCACCTCACAGACGCTCCAAAGCCTCCTGTCCTCAATGCGCTGTCAGCTCCTGGAGATGGATTCAGTATGGTGTCTAGATCTGAGATGATGATCAGATGGAAATATTTTATTTAATTTAGATTAAATAAGACCTCCGTGATGTAGACCTGCTCCGTGCGTAAAGATGAAAATGTCTCTGTGTCAGGGTGACGCCACAGAGCCGTTTTACGAAGCCTTGTTGATTTTTTTCTCCACCTCACCTGGTTTATTTATTAAGTCTTCCAGACTTAAGCCTGGATACTTTAATAAGACCTGGGACTGCGGGTTGGTTATTGCGCAATTTCAGTGTGTCTTTTTCCTGACCGAGTATAAACAGGCTGAAGACGAAATAGGTCATAAATTATCATAAATCCTCCCTCTGCCCTCCCAACTGCTCATATAAAGTATATAAACCACAATAACAATGGCTAAATGGTGTTTTTTCCACTAAACATCAGTGTTAAGTTGAGTGAAGTAAAGCAGTTTTTTTTTTTAAATTTATTTATTTTTGTTAATGGAGGATGGGAAAAAAAGACGCGACCAGCTGTGCTCACGTTCATCCTTGGGACCCGGATCAAACCAGCTGCTCTTTGAGCTCTTTTTAAAACTGACAAAAAATATTTTAAACAAAATAACACATATAAGGTATTGAGCTGCTCGGGGTCCTGTTTTGGTCCAGCTCCAACTCCTCGGCACTGCCACAGCTGAGGACCACCGGCCCTCTGCGGTGCCCCTCATGAACAAACACACCCACAAACTCTGGACCTATCACACACTGAGAGCCGCAACGTCCCGTCGGCACAGTTCTGACTGGAGGTCATGCACAAGATGGTTGTCACCGGGGGATAGCAGCGGGAGACCAGACTGAAGTTGCGCAATTTTATTTTACTTAGCAGGGGGGAAAGACGTGCGATTCGAAGTATAAACCAGGTTTTAATAGGTCAGAGGTGTTAATTGCAATCTGTCAAAATGACGGACGGCCTTCAGATTTTTCAGTCATTGTGTAAAAGAAAAAAACGGTAAAACACGGAAAATATCCCATTAACGTAACCTCTGCTCAGCAGACACAAATTTGAAAAATCTTGTTCCTGCTCAGAACAGAAGTCCAGTTGTTTGGTTTTCAACTTTTTTTTTAACATGACGCAAATAACTGAGAATCTTCACCAACATTATAATTATAAAATTTGGCAGCACAGTGGCACAGTTGGTAGAGCTGTTGCTTCTCAGCAAAATGGTTGCTGGATCAAATCCCAACCTGGGACCTTTCTGTGTGGTGTTTACATCAGTGTTTCCCAAGCCTTTTGTCTTCTGACCCACAAAATATCCATGGCAAAAACTTGTGACCCTAAATATTACTGGTCTGAGTACACAAACTTCATTAATAACCCTAAAAACACAGGCTTTTTGACAATCTAAACAGCTTGTACACAAATATAAATACTTATTTTTACTTATTTTGTGTTTTTGTAATAATTATAGGGAAAATATTATATTACCCTTTAAATTGATTTCTGGAGATTATCCAAGGTGCTTCATGACCCATAATTGGGTCCCAAGCCCAACTTTGGGAACCAAAGTGCAG